ACACTTGCAAATCGGAAAAAAAGAAGGAAAGATGAGGTAATGAAGAAAAAGAAGAATGAGTGAATTCAAGGATTAAAAAAAAAAAGTTGATGCCTAAATGAGTGTCCATCTGATGTAGATAAGAATTTTTAAGGATGCTGGTAGATTGGAAGAGAAGAGGAAAAAGGAGGGAGGAGAGAAGGGGACGAAAGAAGGCTTGAAATTAAATGAAGTTGAAGTTCTACTTTGAAGGTACTGATTATTGTTTCGTGTAACCCGCAAAAAGAGCACTGCAAGAAGAACTTGAATGAGGTCCCATCCTGCTTTGATGACATCTTTGCTTTTCAAATAACACTTCAAAGGCATATTTTACTCATTCCTTCCCGTGCTTCCTTCTACTAGTTTTATTCCTTTTTAGCCAACGAGACCATTAATAAAGGCTTACATATTGGCATAATTTAGCATTTTCTGAAGATTTAAAAATTGAAAGAAATTTTTATAAAAATTCCAACTAATACAAATTGGAATTTTTTTTTTTTTTGAAAAATTAAAAAGAAAAGGAAAAATGAAAAATGGAACATGTAATGAATGTAGTATAATATTGAATTCAAAATAAATTAATCATTAATAATTTTAAAGAAAAATAAATGATGAGTAAAACAAATTTGCATTGGCATATATTCTGAAAGCATCCAAACAAACACGACTGTTTCCCAATTCAAACAGTTTTTAAAAATTTTTAAATTGCAAATTGGTCATCGACTATTTCCATCCAATTATTATGTAATATTAGCAATTTTCAATTATCCACCATTATTATCATTACCATCACCATCGTAATCCTCATGATCACTACTGCTAGTTAATCAGTCTCACCATCTATCGTTATCATTCATCATTTATCATCATTGCACCTTAGCGTACATTTCCCATCTATTTTTGTTGCACATATTTGTCAATTGAACTGATTCACAAAGATGTTTCAAATTAAAGTTCAAAATAACTCGCTATTTTAATTTTATTCATTAAAGCATTATCACTATTATCATGAAGCTTAAAATGGACATGATTTTCATGATCCGTCAAATAATTTTAATTTATCAACGTAATAACCTGATTACGCCAATATTTCTAAATGAATAACACAATCTTTCCACACATACTGATAACACACCATAACTAATGATTTCGTAATATCTTTAACAATAACCAATATTTGTTAGTAATTAATCCAATCGTTATATTTTATAATTCAGATTAATTTCTGTTCAATCTTTTGCTCATTAAGCGATGTTCTTTTTTGACGATCTCATAACTTAGTTATAATTACTTTATTCCATTATCACTATTGTCATCACTGGTTTTCATATAGCCATATTTATCCTTGTCTTTTATTTAATTAGAAATTAATTTTCACTTTCCTCTATTTATTTCTTGTCTTCATTACTTTAATTGATACCTTTTCATATCTCGCTTAACACTTCCTTTGCTATATTAATCAACCTCATTTCTTTGCTTCATCTACAATAAACAACTGCTTATCCAAAGTAAATACAGTCGATTGAAATTACTTTCATTAATTTGTTAATTAATTAGTGAATCAATCATATATGATCAGTTATGACAATAACGGATATAAATCCGTTAAAGTACAACTTGGAGTAATTACCTCTTGACTTTACTAATCAGTAAAATATCATTCATTAAGTACATATATGTTATCCTATTGCAATAAAATATAACCAAATTTTCAATGTCAACAAAAGTATTGTTGATATTAAAAAATTGAGGAAAAGTTATATATTTTGGGTAAACCATTTTTTGTTCATAATCGTTTTACATTGGGGCAATATGCTTTTGTAATAGTAAGATGATCAGATGCCGAAAAGAGATGTGGAAAAGCTTCCTGAACGAGACTTGCAATATTAACCTCTATCAAACAATTCCTTTTAATCATCGCTATGCAAGATATGATCAATAATAAATAATTTTGCTGGATTTACATGTAACGTACAATTTTTATGAAATAATAAAAAAATTAATAAGAGAGAAAAAAGAAAAAAAAAATTAAATGGAACAGAATGAAGATCAAATATTTACGCGATAAACAGAGTTGGACATTCAAAAGCTTTCAAATAGATTCCAATGATAGTATGTCAAATTACTAATATTAATCACTTCCGCTTGGATGACATTTCAATGTTGAAGATTTAAGGGAATGGAATGAATAAATTCAAAATAAGTAACATTATTTCATTGATTTTATATGGGAAATAGGTGGTTTTATGACATTCATCATTGTTTTCCTTGGAAACTATTGAAAAACTAAGACTTTATTTTTTTTCTTTCTATCCAAACGAATTAATAAATAATTTGAAAAAAAAGAATTAGAAAAATTGTTGAACCAAATTGCTACCCAACAAGAGAGTAGCAAAGGAGTGCAATAACTTCTCGAGAAAATGCGTCCTCATAAATCAATTAAGTAACCGATTCATTCCTATCCTTACATTTTTTGGTAAAAACATTTCGTGAAAATTACGATTATTTGATCAACGCAATGTTAAAAATCATATTATCACCGTACATTTTACCGTTATATTTTCATTTTTCATCATTGAAACAAATTATTCCTTTTATCTTTGCTTACATTTAATTTCCAAGTATAATTAAATTTTTAAAAAAATCAGAAGTTTAAAATAATATAATGCTCATTTATATACATGCATACATTTACTTCCATTTTCAAGTTTGAAAAATTAAATCTTAAATTTTTATTTTTTGTTACTTACAAATAAAAATTTCCCATGACGAAATAAGAAAAACAACTATTATGATGCAATTTTAATTATATCAAAGCTATTTAGTTAATATTTTGATATTCATTCAAGTTATGAAAATGGAAATTTGCTATTAGTATAAGTTGAATCATAAAGAAATTATCAGGTAAGCAATGTTACGAAACAACAAAAAAAAACTTTACGTTTCTGACGTCATAATTTTTTTTGCACAATCACATTTTAAAAAAAAAATAAATGAATTATTTGTAATCACTAGAAGAAAGACAATGTTAAGTTGTTAAACAAATTGACTGATTTATTAAATTGAGTAAAAGAAAATGGAAAAAAAGGTTTTTTAAAAGGAAGTGACCCCTTTTTTTGTGAATAATTTTTGTTTTGATGAATGCTTTTTGTTTCAGAAAATTTTTATGTTGATATTAATTAAGTGTGAAAATATTGAATTGAGCTTTCAAAATATATGCTTAAATAATTAAAATATATATTTAAATAATTGGCATTCAAAACAAAACACAGGAATAAATTATAAAACGTGGAAATAAGCTTTCGATTTATTTAAATACCATTTTGAACATAATAAAAGGACATTATCGCGTTATCTAATCGATCAATCAACCTTTTCTTTCTCTCGTTTTTTTCTTCGAATTTAAATCAGTTACCTTTAGTTTGTACACGTTGCCAACAATCATTTAATGAAGAATAATGTGATAAGTGTTATTTCTGTTTTTCAATATATTGTAATTTATTTCATAAAATATTTTTTTATCGCTGCATTTTTTTGTCAGTAACAATTTCAATAGAAATATAAGCCAATATTAAAAAGATTAACTTTGTAAAAGTCAAATTACCTGCATAAGCTGCAAGGTCTTTTTTTTTTCTTTTTTCTTTTTTTGTAATTTTGAAATCAAATTCCCACCTTTGCGTATTCTAGGAGTTTTGTATTCGTGGAAAAATAAAAGCGTAAATTAAGACGATTATTTTTCAATAGTATTTGAAAAATTAGATTCCAAAGATTATTTCATTGTATTCAACTAAAATTTAATCAGTAAAATGAAATCATTTAGCTAAGCCATTTATTACTCACATTTAATTTTTCAAAGGATGCAAAAGAGTAGGAAAAAAGTTTTCATTTTTTGATTACTCTGAAATATTTCTTGACTGAATGCTCTGAAATTTGAAATGTGAATTTCAAAATATCAATGTTGAATTAATAATAGCAAAACAATATTAAAGGTAAGGTGATCAAAAAAAAAATATTTTTATTTTTTTGAAGTTTTTTTTTTTTATTTTGAAAACGATTAACGATAATGAAAAGAAATTTTAAAAAGTGAGAAATTTTTGAAAATATACTGGTTTTCTTGCTTGTTTTCTCATACATAGTGAAATCGAATGGTTTGATGGATGATTTTATCGTTAAGCAAAATGGTAGAAAAGAAAGAAACTGAGAATTTGCGTATGTTCTATTGATGGATAATTAATGTGATAAAGTTCGAGCAATAGAAGTAATATATTATAAAAGATAGATGGAAAAATTTAATGTTTTATTGCCCACAAATGGTTGTATGACCCATTTTTGACCTTTTCATGTATTATTGACCTATATTTTGTTAACACAAAAGAATGGCAATATCAAAGACCACCGCTGTCATTTTTGTCGATCCGTTCAATGATTGCTACTAGTTTTCCTATTCTTATTGGGGTCTTTTTTAGAATTATTGAAGCCTATCATCGACCAAGTTTGTTTGTTTTTATTTTTTCTTTTTTTTTTGCTTGATTTAATCAATAATTAATTGCATCAAAAGCATCAAACAGATGAAAAAAAAACAGAGAGGGAAGAAAAGAAGGAATTTTATAAAACAGGTATAAATTGTATTCATTAATGATAAAGAATAAGTAACAGATCAGACTAAATTCCAAACTCATTTTTTTTTCATAATAAAAAATTACTGGTACAAAACTTGAAAATATAATCTGAAATATCTGCACTAGATGTATGATAGCTTTTTTTATTGTCTTTGATTAAATTTCACTTTTATCAAAATTACGATGATAAAACACCAATCTTTTTTTCACTCATAATACAAGCTTAAAAATTTCATACTTTTCCTACAAAAAATCTTTTTCTGACAAAATTTACAAAAATTTAAAAAGTTGATTGAAATTTTAGACCATTTTGGAAATCCTTGCGTGTTATGTAAATGCTTCGTGAAATATACAGATCGCGATATGCCAGTTTCCTTCAAGCCTTATGGAGTTGCAAATGATAGTTACAGTAGTACGGAAGATCAATGCTTGGTTACTTGTCTTAAAGATAGAGTAAGGATTTTTTGTTTTTTAGAAATTTAAATTACATCGAATTATTTTTATTAACTTAATAAAAAATTCATTGATTAAGTTATGAGTCTTAGCATCGTTGGTTAATTAACAGTTTTCATAGATAAAGTTGAAGATTAAAATAATTCTGGAACTTTAATTATTAATATATTACATTTTTTTTTTTAAGATATTATTCTCTGATAACATACGTAAATGAATTACAAATCTGTCAAATATCTCATATCCCTCCATTGCAAATTGTAATAACTTGAAAGAATGATATGAAAATTACTGAAGATAAATAAATGATAATAGAAGTCAACAATTTAAATTTATTTCAAAGAGGAATGAAAGAGAAAACAAACTAATTTGCTAGTTTTATTCATTTATTAATCTATTGATTTATCGATTTATTTATTTATCTATTCTATATTAATTATTTATGTTGGATCGTGATAAGCTGTAGTTTGGAAATTTGTGATAATAACTTATAACCTTTATAATAAATTTCTTTATATCTCTTTTTGATCATAAAAAACAAAAGAATTTGACATGAAGTTTATTGTATTTGAAATTGACGAATTAAAACTTTAATATAATTTTAAATTAGGAATGAAAAATAAATTTACATACAGTTTTCAATATGTGTTTTGTTTCCGGAACCTTTTGTATGCAAATGATATTGATCGTAACAGGCTAATAAAGCAAATCATTTGATTGTTTATTGTGATCAGTCCACAGAAGCAATGAGTGACCTCTTCCAAATCGTAAGATCAGTTTGAATAAATGATATTTCAGAGGTGTAAAACAGCTGTTTATGGATTAGTTGGTGGACGTGATGTCTTCACGTGTGAACTTTATCAGGCAATGACTCTAAATCAGCTTGTTTATGTTCCACACGTAAATGTCTATTTACCGAAGAGGAAATCTGATTGTAAAGTATACTGTAAGTTCATTCTATACTTTAAAAATGATTGACTTTCACTTTTAATTATTAGCTATCTTAGAAGTATATTATTATTATTGACTCATTGTTGTTAATTTAAAAAAAAAGTGCATGCTTATTTTACAGTAAGTTATAACATGTGTTATAGATGACCATCTTGAAACTTTGAAGATATTGAATCGTCATGATGAAGTAACCAAGCGAAAGATGAATTATCTCAGTTTTCTTGGACAACGAAATCATTTTGCATTTGGTTAAATTATGATTGAATTTGATATTTTTTATCAATCTTCAATAATACATATTAATAATATCAAATATCGTTTGTAATTTCAAAAAATTAACTTAATATTTGAAAAATAACGTGATATCATTCGATTAATTGGACTTATTAATAAAATTTTATCAACAAATTTGTCAACAAATTGCCAACTCATTCAACAATAAATAAATGTGATTTATTTATTGTTAAATGAGTTGGCAAATGAATAATTTATTTTAATTCCGCTCTATCATCTTTGTAATAAGTATACATATCTATGGTAATCATTAAGGTATTTAGAAAAAGGAATGTGAAAAGAGAGAGAAAAAAAGAATGCCTTTCTGACGGAAGTAATAATCATTTGATCAGATATCACTACTTACAGATTGCAACATTGATTTTTGAATTGGTTTCCCAAAATTTTCAATTTTTTCTTCGGTTGCCCAGAATTGATGAGAAAATAACGATAATATAATGCCTGATGTTGAAGTAAGATTTGAAGCAATCTAATAATTATATATCTCATTATGATTGGAGTACTAAATTAAAACAGTAATTTAAATTGCCGAAAATATTCTATTGTTCATAAAAATTTGAAATTTCAAATAATTTAAATTAATGCATTGTAAAAGAAATGCAAAGTAATATCCTGCCACTAACGAATTCCATTCACTGCAAATGTTGCATTCATGTATTTCACACGTTTTGCATGCATTGCAATTTTTATTTCTCAATGTTTGATCCATTTCGAATTTCAAACAATAAATCAATTTAATCGTTTGATTTAGTATAAAACTAACAGAAAAAAATTGTGCATTATCTTACTGAAAAACTAAATAGATGATGAAAAAATTTTTTTAAATAGAATTTTTGTTAGTGATGAAATATGAATTAAATTAAAAATTTTCAATTTCAAATTTGAATAAATGATGATTTTATCTTCCCCAAATTGATTGTTACATTTCTGGTGCAATGAGCATAGCCGCGGACAGTGATGACAATAGCATGTGGTCAGTTATTGGCGCGCTTTCTTGTTCTATTACCTCTTTATAGGGGTCAAATGATGAGGAGGTCAAGCTTAATAACAGTGAGATTCTATAGAATGATAGCAATGGAAGGAAGAATGTTATGCAGTACTATCAAAGATGAGGTGAACTTCGGAGAAACAGAGAAAATGAGAATATTGACAAACAATGGACTGCTGGAAAATGAGGAAGGTCATCAGATGGGCATCACCAAAAGATCCGCCTTTTACCGCTATATGCTATGGACATATATTTCCGTCGATTGCTTGGTAGTGCTGGGTTTCGCGAACTGCCTTTACCCGTTGCTAATTAATTATTTCTCAAGCAGCTTGCTTCATTCATCCCTTTAACCAGAAATAAAATTTGTAAGAAAAAGGATGTCTGATCGAAGAGAGGAAATTCAATCGGAACAGGTACCACTGAAATCTGATACTGATCCGGAAAAACTGAAAATAGAAACTAATTCTGCAAAGGTAATCTTTTAAAATTGACATTTATTTTAACAAATATAGATTAGTTTCACCTTGACAAATTAAAATTTTTCGGCATTAATTTCTCATCAAATAATTAAAGGAATAATCATTGCACCAAAAAAAAAAACGTTTCCGCAGGTAGACCAAAATAACAGGTGTTTGTCATTTATCCATTATTTGTGTAAATCAGTGTCTCTCGTATTTTTTTTAATTTTTGATAAGTTTTTTAAGTAATTTAATAGTCATGCAAAAATTAACGAATTCATTTTCAAGATGGCTTTCATTCTAGTAAATATTTTTATTGTAAATATGCGCAGTAATGAGAATTTTGAAATTCCAAACTAAGTCAACATAGCGGAAAGTCATCATCAGAATTAATAATTATTTACCGAATTAGAAAGTTCTGTCCATGCATTGAAAATTTCCAACTTATATGATTACTGATAATGTTCGGTTAATCAGTATCTCATTTGCCAAGTTGTTCCCTTTTTCTTTATAATTCTTAAAAGGTGTTTCCGGAAATTCTATTTAATTATTTATTCTAATTTCGCATTCAGTCGTAAAAGTGAAAAGAAAAAACGTTTTAAATTGCCTCATCTGAAAATAGTTTTAAATGTTGAAATACGGTCCACTTGAAAAAAGATTTATTTAGATCACTGAATATGTGAAGAAGCTTATACAAAGGCGCTTCATATAGTTGCCAAAATATGGAAAAATCGTAGTGAAAAAAGAATTTAATTAAAATTGTGGAGAGCAGGAAGATGTAAATCAAAAATTCATGCACAATTATATTTTATTAATTTTTTATTTAAATCCTTTAAATGATTTTCATTTCTTTTCCTTTTTTTTCCAAATTAAAAAATATAGAAATGTTCAGCAATTATATGTTTATCAAATATATCAATCTATGTATTTTCTGTTGGGAAAATTGCAAATTTCCTGTTAATGAATTGATTTTTTTTCTCTTCTTCCGGGGTTGATCATTGATAGAAATGATAAATGGAATGGTTTTATCTGCTTATTTCAAACATTCCAAATTTACATTTCCCATTTGATTTTCTCTCTTTTTTCCTTCAGGAAGAAAGTGGTGATGTTGATAAGAAGGAACGTAAAAAGATTTGTAAAATTTGGCAACGAAAAAGTCCCCGATCATATAATTTTGAAAGAAAAAAAGATGAAGCGAAAAAATCGAGAGTGACAGTTGAAATGGATTTTGAGGATCGTGATAATAAAGGTCTCAACAATCATATCATCATGGATTTCGAGAAAGTATTCGCGGAACCCAGTGGAAGTCATTCGTTCAATTGGACTTGGCTGGCAACTAATCGAATTTTCACGGCTACAAGTATTACCATTTATAAGTTGCTGGCTGCTTTTATCGCTATACCATTCGCCGTATTTTTCGGTATATTATATGCAATTTTCGCAGTAATTAGCGTCTTCTTGTGCACACCACTTGGAGTATTACTTGGAATACCGCTGAATGCTTTTTCCAAGGTTTCAACTTATTTTTTCTATTTTCTTTAATTTTACAGACTCATGAATTTTTAATCTTTAAAGTTCTCTTTCTTCTTTTTTACTCCTTTTACTCCTTAAAGAAAATTTATTCGATATCATCCGCTATTTCGCTAATTTCATTGGAAGTTGATAAATAAGCACTGGAAGCTTTAAGTGGTTTAAGAATGATATTGCCATCAATCAATCTGTTGATGCTAAAAATGATTCGAATCATTCATAATTTAGCTGTTTAAACAGTTGTAATTGCGACAGCTCGGTATGTAATCCAGGGGGAGGATTCTATTTAAAATTTCAACTAGCATGAATGGTTTAAAATTATTGACTGATATATTTAACTTGGCGTATATATTTTTCAGAGCTGGGACTTCCTCATAAGCAGATTTCTGAATCCAATTACCAAATCGATTTGCTGCCAAAGAAAAAAAGACGAAAAGAATACTGTTATACTAAATGCTTGAATCGTATATTTCATTCACTAATTCATTTATTTATTCATTTATTTAACATAACATAAATACCTCAATTAATCAATGTGGAAATTTAAATTTACTATTAAGTTTTGTAGCATCGACTTCTCGAATAATGCCCCTTGCTCTCAATTATTTTCTTATATTCCATAAAAATGTTATGAATAAATATTTTTTCTCTATATACGCCAAATACACACCTCAAAAAATCTTTTATGTAAGATTTAATCGAAATAATTTGGCTAACATATAATTTCAAGTGATGAATCAATATTATTAAAATATAATTTATGTATGATAATATGAAAATATGATAATATGATTCTATTAAAATATGAGTACAGTTATTTCAGACTGCTAAAATATCAGTAATTGAGAAGCTTAAATTAATTTAATTTAAAATAATTTAGATAATTATTCCAATTATAAAAAATGGTACGAGTGTATAATAAGATTAAATGTCATGTGATGATGCATTTAAGTGAATGCCGGAAATATACAAACAATACAATTCATTATCAAAATATTAAGTAATGAAGTAAAATCATCACAACTTCAACAAACACACATTGAAAAAAAACTAAAATTAATCTTCGAAAAATGCTATTGTAAAATGACATAAATCATTAAGAATGATAAAAAATTGGTTGTGTCACAAACAATGATGGATAATTATTCTAGCATTGCAATTGTATATAAATCTTCTCATATACAATATTTCAATGATATATTTGTACAAAGGAGCGGTAATGATAAACATATGGTCATTGCAATAAATTGTCCAGTTCAAACGGATACAAAATGAAGGGAGGCTACACAGAATCCAAGGTTAAATCCATTCGCGCATTTAGAAAATAATAGACTCTCTTAATCTTTTGGCTTTTCTTCTTTAACACAACCAACTATTCCACGAAAATTTTTGCTGACAATTTTATCTAATTTCACATTGGAACATATCAGATTTGTATAAAATTAAATTACAAAAAAAAAAATTTAATTTTATACAAATCTGATCTTATAGAGGAATTTTTCGTTGATTGATTATAAATGATGGAAGCTTCGGTCAATTCTTTCCAAATGTACTGATTTATTGTCATATTTTTGAAATTCATTATAGAATCTTCAAATTTCAATTCGGTACATCATGAAAGTATCCAAAAATTTGAATCGAGGTGATAAACAATAAAAAAAAAATTTCATATTATAGTAAAACTGTTACAAATACCTTTTAGCAAATGAAGTTCATTAACAATTAGACAGAAAATGTCACAAATTTTAAAATTTATTGAGGTTGATGAAAATGCATTCAAAATGATGTGAAAGATGATGAAAGATAAAGCAGAGGAATTAATAGATGGAATTTTAAAACAGAAAATGGAATTTCTCAGGCCATTTATTTTACAATTAACTATTTGCTTATTTGTAAGACACAATTTTAAAATTGCATGATAAGAGGAATATTTTACTATTTAAGATAAAATTGAAACTACATAATGCGAGAATACACATACATATGGACAATTCCTACTCTTAACCAAAATTTATACTTTAAATAATATCGATTAAAGAGCATAGTAGTAGTTGATTCGCTTTCTTACTTTCTTAAAATGCTAAATATTGTAGTTCTCGAAAAACTATTCTCGTCTCTATGATTTGAAGTAGGATTTCTGAATATTTTATGTATTTTTTTGTACTTTATTATCTGTATTACCATTAACTTTAGAATTCATTAATATAATAAGTCAAAATCATATCCTTTTTGTAGAGAACTTCTTTTTCTCATTATATTTACACTTGTGAACATAAGTTTGATACTGTCATGTAGCAAAAAATAGCAATCAAAAAAGGCACATACAATATTGATATGCAAAAAGAAAATGCAATATTTTAGCGATGAAATATCAAGCTCAAATTACTGGCTTTCTTTAGCTTTAATTTTCAATCCAAGTCTAGGGAAGAATTTTTTTTCATCATTCATTATTATTTATTCACTATTTTTGTATATGGAAGAAAATTTTATTCATTGCTCAAAGTGATAATTTATGATTCTACCTTCAAAAATGATATATATCTACATCTATCTATTTATTTGTATATATAAATGGACAGATAGATATAGCTATAGACAGTAAATGCAAAAAATGTTTGCATACAAAAAAGCTGCTATTGCGATGTTTTTACCATAAATTAACTGAATTTGGTTTCTATGAAGTGGAAAAATTTTAGAGCTAATTCGAATCCCAGAAAACATGCGGCATTCGCTGGGAAGGCGCGCAACATTACCGGAGTAAAACCTTTGAATAACGCTTTTGGACCTTCTTCACGCATTATTTCTTTAAATACGCTGCGTATTCCTGAAAAACAGAATTTGAAATTAATAATTTTAGTCAGACACAAACACTTAGGTTAATCATAACAGAACAAAAATTATAGACAAAATTACATGAAATCGAAATTTCATTAGCTAAATGACTGATTACAAAATGCTCATTGTATATCAACTTTAAAATGAGAAAATTCCTACCAATTCCTAGAGGTATTTTTCAAAAGAAAAGCATAAAATTATACAACTTAACTCCTACTTTTACATACAAGAAGAAATAAGAAATCTCGATACCTTCCGGATATTTGCCCTCTGGTGCTGTTTGTAAACGCGACTTCAATACATCAGGTGGAATACAGATAGACCAGTTAGCAATACCTGCCAAACCACCCGCCATTAATGTTGACAATGGATTCAAATCTTTGGTTGTATTGTCCCCAGCAAACAATTTCTTGAGATGTTCATAAGTGGCTAAATAAACACCACTAGCTGGAACATCTGCAACAACAAGCATTTGTCAGTACAAAAATATTTAAAAGAAACAAAAACGATTAATGGCTAACGTTTATGGCTAAATAAAAACAAAAACGGCTAACGGCTAATGAAAACAGAAAACTTAACACTATCATTTTAACGGAGACGAGGAAAAAAGAGATACAAATGATTAATTTTAACATGGAAGAAGAGCTGCTTTATGCATACGAAAATCTTAACCTCCAACCTCTAAGCAAAGTTGCCATTAAACCCCTGTAAATGCTTCTTATACCACCCTGTTTGTATAATTTCCGAAAGACATCAACTGGTCCAGTGTAATGTTCTGAAGATGGATCTGTGGGACCTGCGTGTTGAACCTAAAATCGACTAGGTAAGTGTCACAAACTGTCACAAAGTGTGCTGAAAATCTTTATTTTGGGAAATTAGAATTTTCACTGAAACTTAAGACCTTAATATTTCATCGTAAAGAAGAAAAATGGAATCGATAAGATTGAAAAGTTAAATCTGATATAGGTTTAGTTCCTACTCGCAAATTGCACTTTTTTGAAAAATAACTACTATAACCTGTAACAAACATTTGATACGTTCACCAGGTACCATGATCACAGTTGTAAAAATACCAGCAAGGCCACCTGACAAGAGATTTTGAGCGAATGTCATTTCTTGATCTGGAGATGTTTGCTGCAACCATTTACCAAACGAACAACTGCCAAAATAAACGGCAAACAAAGGCGTGACTCCAATAATAGGAGCACTCATACCCTAAAATATAATTAGTAACAAATAATCAAAAGTTGAAAATTCATATAAATTCGAAGAATTGAACTTGAATAAATCTTATTATGATATTACAATAAAGTGAATCGGATGATAGCAATAAAATGATGATAACAAAATGTGGGAAAGATTTTAAATAGCTTCTGTATTCCAGCATATTATAAATACTATCAAATATTCAACTGCACAAATTAGCAAAAAACAAAAAACCAACCTTATATAAAGCAAAAATTCCTTCTTTAACAATGGTTTGCCTAGCACAATCTAATGCTCCTGTATACAATGGTCGAGTGCCTGGTACCACCTTTGGCATCGTTTGTAATCGTACCTTCACGGTATCAAAAGGATGACCCATGGCAACACAGAATGTGCCACCAACACCACCAGCAGCAAAATTCTTTAAAATTTCGTAATTCGCACTATCTGATTTCGACATCTTGTTGTCGTTATTGAATAGAATCTAAAAAATTTTTAATTTTATAATTCTAAAATTCAAATTTGATTAAAATCGTAATCCGAAATATCCATACAAATCATCGTAAGAGCTTATCGTTTGCAAACATTTCGATAATAATACAAGTTCAATTATCATCATTAAAAAGTGATGATAATTCGCAATCATACAATTGTTACAATTACAGCAAAGAGTAAATTCACAATTCAATAAATTCAAACCTCAATTTACAAATATTTCCCATCTATAAATCCAAAATCTTTCTTTCTAGGATGATACATATACATTTTAATTCTCCATCCTACATCTGATGCAAAAAAAAAATCACTAAACTTCGCTAATTTGAACAGAAAGTTTAAAACAAAGATTTCAATGACTCCCGACTGTCATTAAACTGTCAATCATTAATGTAACGAAAGAAATATACCACTGCAGTTGTTAAATTAACCCAACGATTTTTACAGTGCATAATTTGTAGAATTCACTAACACGAAAAGGAAACATTTATGAAACATTAAATTCTACATTTCCTTTTGCCTTTGTACTTCGCTCTGTGTATTAATATGGATTATTTTCCAAATAAATCATATATGAAGGAAATAAATTTTTTCATTAGAAATGATAAATGTTCAGCTAAATTTATAAAATATGATGGTAAAAAGGATTTAGAAAGATCAAAATTTAAAAAATTCAGTAATAATGTAGAAAAGAAAAATCTTTTTAAATGAAACAAATGGAAAAATTCACATTATCAGATTCGAAAAAGTAATAGAAAATATTCTATCCTGTTGGTTCAGTGAAGCCTCACTGCTAACCGCATTTCTTTAACATGAAATTTTTTCAAAAAGTTTTGCTAATTTAAATAGAATCATTAATGCTTATTAATCATATTAATGCTTTAAATGAATATAAAAAATATTTTTAAAACATAAATGTCGATCATATTTTATTGTATAATTATGTTCGCATTCAAAGAAATTTTCGTTGAATGATAAGATTACGATGTATGTTAAATTAGAATAAAATTATAGGAGTGTATAAATTGCAAAAGAAAATAATAAATCTTTATGAAAAATAAATAAATGGTTTGAGCTTTAAGAAGAAATGTATACTGTAAAGCTGTTAAAAAAAATATTGTTAAATAAGTGAAGAATTTATAGAAATCTGTTTAAAGAAGTTAGACTGCAAAAGTCGTATTTCTTGTTTACTGCTGTTATTGGAAGAAAAACAACTGAAAAAAAAATCCAAGCAAAAAGCAACAACTGAAAAATACTAGCCTAATAATGATTCAATAAAAAAAAACTTTTACATGCAAACTTAACTTCATCAATAAGAAAACACTTCTTGATAGCACAAATAAAACAAACAATACTTATGTCAACATCAACCTTTATTCTAACAATTGTCTACAGTACACACCTTGAGTACACTTTAAGTATGCTTTATGTACCGTTTTATATGCCAAAAACATCTATTCATCCAGAATTTGTCAGACGAATCCAGCCTACTGTTAAAAAAATTATAACTTATGCAATATTTTTTTTTTCGAAAATGCACAAATGGGTACGCGTAAGATGCAATTCAAACAAATTTAATATGTTTAAATAAACTTACGGCATCTATCAAAATAACAAAAATTACTGCAGAAAAAATAACGGTGCAAACTTCTTTTAAAAACACCTAAAAATGCTCTCAAACAAGGATGCATCAGATCGCTTGAGCATTTGCCTGATTTTTTATAAACATCTATCCATTTCTATTTCCTCAACTGAATACGTCTTTTTCATGACTGGATCAACACAACTAACGAAAAATCGACTTCTAACTGATTCATTTAGTTATAACCTTTTGTTATCGAAAATTAATCCATTGTAAATGTATACAATTAAGACAAAATTTCATTAAATCTATTACAAATACAAACTTGACACGAAAAGAACATCACAGCAATATAAGAAACATACAAGCAACTACTAAACATTATGATATAATTTAAATAAAACTTAATGTCAATTGATAGAAGTTGGTAATAAATTAATACAATCGAATTTCAAAAAAGATTGTGTCTTGGAAAAGATCTATTTCAGATGCGAAGAGTTTTCCATTTTGTTATCTGATTTTGGAAGATTATTAGAAAATCATTAAGCTTATAATGCCAAGAACAATATTCTATCTACATAAAACTAGCATTTTTAGAATGACAATAAACAACAAACTTTTAAATAGCAATAAAATCTTACATTTACATACTACGAACTATGTCAGTAATGCATGTTAAATCAATTAAATAAACATTGGAAAAGATACCAAAAATTAGTTATTGTTAGTGAATCGATAGGAAATGTAACGAAACATAACAAAGTGACAACATTAGAAGAATTACATATATATGTGTATATACATTTTTGAAGCTAAGCTCTTCTTTAATACATCGAAAAATGAAAAAGAATACCACCAACATTCACTCCAGGATCGTTCAAGTGTAATTCGGACCAAGATGACAAGTTTCTTTTAAGACAACAACCTCAATTCCAGTACAAAATTTTTTAAAAATATTTTGAAGTAAATGATACGGTAAAAATAGTCATTTGTACAGTAACAAGAAAATGCTATAAAACACTATTTGTACAGTAACAAGAAAATGCTACAAAACACTACAATACAACCATAAATGACTAAGCTAAAAACAAAATACAAACTGCTTCACCGCTCTGATGATACATTTTTAAAATTTTTTTAAAGTATTCATTTCTACGTACTTCAAAAACTTCCAAAGTTGCTTGCATTTGAAGCTATAAATTTGTTCTACTTTACTGCTATTAGCATTTCATTTTTCTAACATGCACATCATGCTGAGAAATTCGAAAGTCATAACAAATAAAAGAAACTTGAACAGATTCATTTTTAATATCGAGCTCAAATTAGGTATCAAGCAGCCCTTCATGAAGAAGATGTTCATGCAAAGACTGGAATATGTAAAGTTGTTCATCCGCTGGAAGCCAAAAAATTTGTTGTAAAAGCTTTGACGGATTGGGAACTCTGAAAATGAGAGATTAACGTGTTATATTCCTTCTTTAAAATATGAAAATTTTACTCTTTTCTAGAATCTTACACGAAAATTTCAAATAAGCTGAAAAATTTATATACTCTAAGCTTTGCTTGCATTTTTGGAATATGACTGCAATTTAAACTATAAGACTACTAACCTGATAAATGTGTGAATGTAAACATTCACAAACGTTCCCATAAGAAGTTGACAGTCAAAGCGATCCATCAAACCACCATGTCCAGGAATAACATCACCAAAATCCTATAGAACATAGCATTAAATGCTTTCATCAATCCCATCGATAAATAATAAAATCAAATGCATCTAAAATTTTTCAAAGCAATACCTTAATTTTAAAAGCTCGCTTGAATCCACTTGCGAAAAATCCACCAAATGGACCTAATATAGAAGCAAACAGGCCCATTACAATAGTATGAAGCAAAAAAGGATATATTTGAAATGTTGATGGCTTTTGCATCAGTCGTAAGATGATGGAAAGAGGCCATACAATATTGAATTCTCTAAAAAACATACTTTAATTAATTATAATTTTCACAAAATAATTATAATTTGAGTTGTGCAAAGTCTACAGCAAACCTTAAAACAAATGATGGCGGAACAGTACAGTTGTAATTTTCCACTGTATAATCTTCCAATGGACATACAAAAAATGGATGATGAAGAAGACAGTAAGAAAGCTGAAATTGTTTTTTATTATCGTAACGTTTCAAATTACGAGTAAGAAAATTCGGAATAAAATTATATGATCTTGATTTTGAAACAATAATAATGATAGCATGTCATATGACTAGAATCGCCTGTATATCTCCCACTGCATACATCAAAAAAACCAGACAGAGTTGCCCGATTTGCAGTCACACTAACAATGGGAAGTGAATTACAGTAAAGGATTTAACTGACAGTCTCAGTATTAGCATTTCAAAAGTCTCTACGAAAACTTACATTGTTTCATATCAATCTCACGCAATATAACTTACAATTAAGCCGAATGCAACAGTGCTAATACCACCGCCAATGAATCCTTCCCATGTTTTTTTCGGAGATAATTTTATTAGAGGTGTCTTTCCAAAAAAGAAACCAAACACGTAGGACATGACATCACAACAAATTACCATTGAAACTGGAACAAGAAACCTAAAATGATTTTATGGACAAGTTATTATAATGTGAGTGAGTTCATAAACAGGAAAAACGATAATTCGCAAAAAATTTGCAGGATTAAAAACTAACCATATAAGCCCTTGGAAAATATTCTGGATAATAAGGAATGATTGTGAAACAATAAGTAACAGCGTTACGTGCGACCATGCGAACTGAAAAACAGAACAGTCATAAAAGTTATGAAAGATTTGAAATTAAGACAAGTACTTGATAATCGACTAGCATAAAATCCATTAGTCCGGCACGTATTTGCTAGTTAATAGTTTTAAAAAAAAACCAAGCAACTTCATTGGCTTAGAAAAAAATTAGTAGAGAAGTGGAATCAACTAATGCTGGGAATTACCTGCAAGAGAAGTTTAAAATGTCATCCATAAACTCTATAACTGGACTAGAGTGATAGCAAAAGACTAGATTTATTTCATTCTACAGCTAGCTATAGATCATCTGATCTCCTTCAGCTACCTATAGCATATCTAATACAGTTAGCAGAAATTTCTACATAATTATCAGCTCCTCTCGATGATCTTTAATAGTTCAAATTTTCACACTATCATAAAACAACTTAGCTCGAATTTGAGAAAACAGTATAATTAAGACTTACTAGTGAGAATTGCCGCAAATAGTAACCTTTCCGCAATGACAAAACAAACCATACAAAACCTATACAATATAGGGCAAAGCTAATCAAACGATGATGTGCCACCAAGAAGTGTAAAAACTGCTGAAAATTATGCGTACTGCAGCAAACATTAAATAAAACATAATTCTTGGAATTAAGGGTAAAGAAAAGGAACCAGTACGAATAATAAAGCATATGTTTCCACCCAGTATGTTGATAACCGAATCCACAGATCCTGAATGAATGGGTTCCAGAAAGAGGCTGTTGCAATAAGAAGTAAAACCATTGCGCTAAAACTAATAGAATTCAAGTCCACATGGAAAATGAGACCGTGACAACAATAGAATGAAAAAAAAACAAAGATGTGTAAAGAATAAGATTGAAAAGTAACTATTGAAAAGTTTTCCTAGAAAAGTAATTACTGAAAATGACTAAATACAAACGCATACATCTTTTTTCAGCAAAATGGCCCAATAGTCGATTAAGCTTTCACCGAAGAAAAAGTAATTTGATGATAATAGAAAATACCATGAAAGAGCGCGAAACCATGGTAATGAATAGAGACGATAAACTGCCAAACCGATAGTAATGATTTCATGGAAACACCAAAACTGTATGACAAATACCTAAACATTCCTTATGATTTCATAAGTGTTCCATTGATTGAACTTTCTGAAATTCACTATAAAGCAAATCTAACCAAAGCCATAAGCCATGTAGCTCCCATTTTGATGATTACAGCGAACAAAGAAACCATAATGACTGAAAAAATACCGCGCACAACCCAATTCCGCCATCTGAAAATAGTCAAAAAATAAAAAACTTTTTTAGTTACTAGAATAATTTGGTCCTCTAACAAATTTAGCGTGTAAGCTTTTCTATATTGGATACAGTTACAAACAGACAGAATCTCGGATGGAGATCTTTCAAAAATACCAAAATTGGAGATTACGTAGCCCGCCTTCTTTGGTGAAAAAGTAAAACAATCCTAAAGTTAATTGATCTATTAAAGATGTACCTTGGTGGCAACGGTAAAAGAACTGGATCGATAAATGCCCCCAAATGATCGGAACCTTGCGGCAAATCCTTCGTTAGCTGTGATATTCTATAAAAGATTACATCTTCTCCAGGTGCAATTGAAGAGAATTGAATTTCACAAAGCACAACGAATGACTTAATGAAGCACAACATCAACACTGCATCATCTTAACGAAAGGAAAACTTACTTTTCTGTAGCTTTAATGCTGTAAATAGTTGAATTTAAGAGATTTTCAACAAACAAACAATTCTTGAAATTACTAAGGGAAATCATACAGCTGACATCAGGAACTTCTTTCAGGAGGACTACGCATTGTAAAGAGTAAATATTGGCGAAGTATAATACTGACAGCGATTGTCTGCACAGCGAAGATTTCTAAATAAAGATTTCAAACATAGCACGCAATTTTTGAAATTAAAATTGGCAAAGATGCTACACATCTGTTACCTTTCACTGTCAATGAGGGCATCTGCATCACTTTCATCTGATGTTGCTCGAATATCCGTCTTCTGCAAGAGAAGCGGTGCATCGCCACTGCTCGCATGACTTGTAGCATCTGTTGAACCGATTTTTCGTTGACGGAGAAATTCATCTTCCATAATGTCCATCTGAAAAAAGTCCGATCAAATTAATTAACTGCGGTAAAAATTGATAGAAGTGGACAATCAAATAGTTGATGAGAATTCCAAAAATTGAAGAATTCCGTGACATACGCGAACTTTTAAAACTATCCGCGAAATATGCATAAAATTACAAAATTACCCGTGAAATACGCATGACCTTTTCACAGAATAGGCCGACTTTTATACGTCATACTCTCTTAAAGCTGGCAGAATAACCTGGGGGGTGGGGGGTTGGGCTAGTTTACTTTGGCTTACTACCGCCGTTACGAAGGTACTTACCAAATACTGCAGGACATAGAGCGATATACATGAATCAATACTAAACAGTAGAATCATGCTTAAATTTATCCTCCTGAACATAAAAACCCACTAATTTAATTAATTCACTTATAAGTCTAATTATACAAGTTTACAAAGACTGCTAACAATATGGAATAAAAATATAAGAATCAAGTCAGACCAGTTTGTTTCAATTACTAATTTAATTATTCCTAATCCGTCAAATGTGTCATAGGTGCATGCGAGAGAGCGTGACAAGCTGTGTAATAATCAGCGATCAAAAATCATCAATAAGCTAAAACGAGATTCATGCTGTACGTCTTTGATGCTGCTTTTATCTTAATATGACCAAAGCAAGAATCCCTAATATGACATCATGGTGTCTTCTCAAACACCTTCTGATGTCTCATTTGATAATCAGTTGAAGTGATTACAAGCTCTCTACAATTTCACATTATCAACTCGCTTCTTCCTTTCTTCTATCGCTCAATACTACTATCATTTGATGAATAAGGCGAGATGCACCGTATGGATAACTTCATTACTTTTCAAACTGTCATAAGATTTATTCATGTTTGTATAGGTATAATATAACCGGTAGTGTCATATGGCATCAGAGTTCAGTACTTTTCAAAATGTTATAATGATTGACTTTGAGGGAAAGTATGCTTGAAACATGGAAATCTTCAAATAAAAAACTTCTTCAATGATATGCACGGAAAGAAAGAAATACAAAGCATTGAAAAAAATTTTTGTTTCAATTTTCTTTCCTTTGTTTTCTTCTATCATTTTGCCTAGTCTGTCAGTAAACATACCGTTATATGTGTCTCTAACGAGAATAATCATATCAGGAAAACTATGAACATTTCGTTGAAATGTTTCATCAAATTTCTCTGATGAAACATTTATCAAAGCACGGAAGTTAAGTATAGTCGATTACTTTGCCTAAAAAAACTTCTATAATGAATAATTTTCATACGAAAGTCTTGTTGCATATTATTTTCGCAATCAGTTATTTAGGAAGAGAAACCTTCCTAACTTCCTTTCCCGTTTTCACATCATTACATATTGAATTTATAAAAACAAAATTAATGAATTTGAAAAAAAAAACTTTTAAACATTGAATTGCAACAAATTTATCCTATAAATACAACAAAATTTTTATATCTTCGAAATCGGAAATAAAATTTTTATGTAGAAGAAAGCGCTAAATCTCATACAGTTTTTTTATTCTGAATAAATATGCTAGCAAGAAATTCGAATTACACCTTAAATACTCTTTCTCGTTCTTTTTTTACAATATCATAATTTATATCGTACAATATTTAGTTAAAACTTTTGTTTTCTTAGCTAGGAAAAGAGTTGATATCGTTATAATTAGGCTCAAAACTAATGTATAAGGACAGTTCCACAACAAATACAACATACTTAACCAATAGATATTGATAAAAATAACAAACTATAAACAAATAACTGATGAAGATAAAGGATTAAAAATCTAAAATCCTGGAAATTTAGGCTACCAAAGATGTCAAAAGCAATCAGTGCATAAGTCAACTTTTTCCCTTAAATTAGCTTCTATTTGCCAGAAAATTTTCGAATACGAAATAAAATTAAATAATGATAAAATGAAGAGAGAAATATTTAGTCCTTGGCATAAGATTTGAACAAGAACAGCATTTTAGTCAAATTTTATAGAATGTTGAGTAATTGCGAAAAAAAAATGAGAATATGAGAACAGTGATAGTGATTTTGTTCCTTAAAAATGGAAGCTTTTATTGATCTTATCAGAGAGTTCGGCCGGAATAAATATTTTCTTGATGAAAAATTGACGATATAATTCCGTTTTGTCTTTCTGGGTAAAGAGTTCAAGTCTATTCCTTTCTATCTGTTCGTCTGTTTTATTTATTCAATTTTAAAATACACGATGAAATGTGGATTGTATCTCAAAACACAGCAATATAGACAGGAAAAAAAAGCCAAACATGAATTGATATGTAAATTCATCTAAATCCTTTTGTTTATTTGTTCAAATAAATGTTTTAAATGAGAAATCTCTATCATAAATAATAATATATCCTGGAAGTGATAGCAATGACATGAAATGACGCAAATTATGCAAACTTAATGATTTAGAAACGTTCATTAATTAAACAAGTAGAATTGTTCATCTTCTAAGTTTCACTAAAAAAATTGACCATCAAGTAAGCAAACGTCCTCTCTTTCAATTTCGTAAATTTGTTCAAAAATTTACAACAAAAAAAAGCGGAAAACAGAAAGAAAAAGAAATAAAGTGAAGAGACAGATGAACGCATGAAATTGAAATTGATGATGCAGTTTGATAGAATGAATAAATACTGAAAGGAATGTAATAGAGAGAGAAGGGGAGAAAGTTAAAAGAGGGGAAAGAGAGGGAGGGAGAGAGAGGGAGATAGAATGGGAGAATTCGATAGCATTGAATCGTTCAGAAGGATGAGCTTAGGAGATGTTATAAAAGAAATCTAAGAAAGTCTTACTTCTCTAAATCGTTTGTTATCCAGAAATAGTCGTGAAATGTCAGCCGAAGCAACGTTTCACTCTCGAAGGTTTGCCACTTTATTGATTATTATGTTTTGTTAACTCAGTTATAATATGCATTTTTCAACTACTGTGTAAAATTTCAATTTTTTCTATGTTTTTTTTTTCTGCTTTTGTCACCTCCTCATGTTTTTTTTTTTCTTCTCAAAAATTAAACTTTAAAATCTTTCTTTGTATTAAGGGTAAATTATTGAAGTTATTGCTTGACATACACTTTTAGAAGATAACTTTAGAATTCGTTTAGAGAATAATTAAAATGAGTGTAGTAATTGATGTAATGGAAAACAAGCAAGAAATAGATTTGATTCACTGCTGTGACAGAGATATTTGTACTCCTTTCTAATTTTATTGTCGGAATTTAATATTGTTAACTGAATTTTTAATTTAATTGAAAAAAAGGTTACAAATAATCATCAATTTAGTTTAGCTGTTAACATGACATTTTTATTTGGAAAAATTTAATAACCTTTATCGAACGAACCTTTTTATCTAAGTTTCATTAATGCATATATGATTTTTTGTATGAATTCAAGTTTTTGTAAAGCTAATATTTGTTATAATTGTAACAAAGAACCAACAGTGCCAACTTCCGATAAATATTTTGATAAAAGTTTTAAACTTGCATCATTCTTTTATGAATAAGTTTAGACTGAAAAAAAAAACTGAAAAAAATTGAAAATGAAACTGGATTGTGTAATTGAAAGTGGTATCCTTAGAATGTAGGTTTAATATATTTGGTAACTTAGTGTGATATTCTAATAGATATCGGTTAGCATTAATAAGTTAATAAGTCGGTATTTTTAGCAAATCAATTTTTATTAATTAGTTAAACAAATTTAAATCACTTATAGTTACTTATACGAAGTTATTGGCTTTTTCATGTTGTCATCAAAATGACTATTTCCCAGCTAAAAATTCACATTTTATGAGCGTTTGTCATGCTTTGGGAAAGGTCATCGTATTATAAATTTTAAAAAAAAAACTTGCGCACTATAATACCTAGCGAATTACAACACTGTTTGAGACATGATAAGGTCAGTTGATTTCAGTACATATAATTAGCTTGAAAGAGTGATTGCTTATAATGGGCTTTATGGTCTTTTGAAATTTAATGAAATTAAAACAGTATATTTTCAGACGTCGGCGTACTTATTCGGGAGAAGAATCACCACTTTCAGGATGGAAGCTTGGAGTTGTTATCGGAGTAATAATTATGTGTTTTGCAATGCTTTATCCAAGTATGCTTCATCCATTGATATCTTCATTTTTTCGGACTCCACCGGCACGGAAAACAGTCACAAATCGACCACCGATCCATCCTGCAATGAGTTCACAACGATCTCGTCCTGACTTACATCCAGGCATGTTTTATAGTTATCTTTATCCTTTTATTGTTTATCTAATTCAAAAGCAGTTTCACAATCGAGTGAAATAATTTTGATTATGGTTCACTGGGATAAAAAAAAACAAACACTTTCGAGATGAATGCATTAATGAACCACATATTGTTCAAAAAAAAGACTTGGATCTTTCAAAAAATATCACTAATATGTGCTTTTCTTTTTCATTTATAGGCATGCGAATGACCGCAAATCAACCAGATATAACTACGCCATCTTCCTCATCCAAAGGAATGTTTACATGGATGCTTCCAATTTATACAGTTGGCGTCGTTGCATTCCTTATTTACACCTTAGTTAAGGTAACTCTACATTTAATACAAATAACTTGTTAAATGATATATTTCTTGAGTAATGTAATTCTCTAGTAGAACAAATAAATCTCCATTTCATTGAATTTTGTATGGCTGCCAAAAATAACTGCCTCTGTAATATAAATAACTTCCCAAATAGTACAAACGATTTAACTAGTAAGTTCTTGATTTATGCAATTTTTTTTCAATTTAAACAACAATTAAAACACATATTTATCACACGCATTACTTAATGGTAAAGATTCACTGATAAATAAATTACTTTCTTTTCGATTTCCTTAACTTCCGTGTCCTCTTTCTGTTCAGAAACATCATATTTAGTTCTAATTCTTGATGTTTTTGAAAAAATTCAGTCGAAAAAGAAACGACGAGCTAGGCGGCATGATTACTCGTCGACGGAAAGTGAATCAGAGGAGGATTATAGTCGAAATGATGAACGTACTAGCGGCATTGGTATAAATTTGTTTCATATCTTTTTTTTTCTTAAAATTTCATTAAAGAAACTATCAAATTATTTCGAGAAAAAAGCAATTCAGTATGAAATATTTCATAGACATCCGAAGGTTTATGTACATATCAATTTTCAGGTAAACGGAAACTGAAGGGGCTTCAAGAACGTTTGAGGCAAACTGAAATGGCCATGGAAAAGATCTTGGAACAACTGAACACAATTTCTGCTGAGGCAGCCAGTGCAACGAAACAAAATTTAACAAAGAAAACAGAAAATGAAGAATCACTGAAGCACTGTCATGACCAGCAGGGTGGAAAAACAGAGCAATATTTGCGCGATCTTGAAGAGGTTTGCTTTCGGTTTATTTAAAAGGAAACTTCGAATCACTTTTTATTACTGTCTTAATTGGACAGTTGGCTAATCTATAATTAGCTTCGTAAGCCTATCATACTGCGGCTATGTATGACAAATAATCGTTGCATAACGAGGAGATGCATTGTATTGTCTTATCAGACACTTCTTATGATTAAGAGAGTCAAATGTTAGCGTGATTGTCCTAATGATGAGAATTGTCTGATTTTTCTTAATTTATTCCAAATGCTTTACTCCATCTTTTTTTTGAAGGCATTGCTCGATTTCAAGGAGCTGTCCAAAAAATACAAAGAAAGAGAGGATGATGAGTGCAGTACCAGTGATGCTCAACCATACATTGATGAAGATATACACGGCAGTGAAACCTCCATTAATACAAGTGAGCAGTGCAAGTGCAATAATCTGGAAGAATCTAATTCTTCCGATGAACATCTGAGAAAGCAGAAAAGCTAAGAATCTAATCCCTGAATACTTCGAATGAAGTACTTTCAAGTACCCAGTCTGCAGGAAGAAACGGTTCAGGTAAATTAAATGTCCATGCAGATTTCCTGTGTGAAGATGCCGTTCCTTTTATTGTTCTTGAAAGTACGAAATAGCTGATGCTTCCTTTACATCCTGTATAATATATGTGTTTACCAGTTTATCATCGTAGTAGTTACAAAACAGTAATTTTGATCCATACTCATTACGTAACTATTTGGCTTTCAAAAGTATAACCGATGTTCGTGGAAAGTTAACACACATCGGGTAAAGATTTTCCAGATCTCCCACTCTCGGTTAGCCTCTTTCATTAATTATCTATAACCAACTGTGATCGCTTATATATATATTTTTTTCTGAAGTGCAAACTGAAGTTAAAAAAGAATATTTTAAACCATTTATGGCTAACGGTATATGCACAACACAATTTATTTTACGCTCTACCTATGTCATCATGATCGACTAAGTCACGTTTTTCAAAAGAAACAGTATGTCGCAACTTCTTCAAGAATAATATGTAAAAGGTAGCGGTTTGAATCAAGGTAATTCTTTCTTTACAAAAATTTAGGAAAACCATTTCTATACATTTTCAAAAAAGGTGTCCGAATTTTATACAACATGAAGTGCGTACATCATATATCAAGGAGAGCTCTTATCATTTAACCTAATCTCCTAGAATAGAATTTTAGGAATTTCTAAAATGGGAGAAGAAGAAGAGTAATACACATACCAAATCAATGGGCCAAAACCATAGTACACGTTAGACATATTTTATATATTATAAAGGAACAAAACAAGTCATATTTCTCATGAAACATATGCATCCTGGTAAGGGCATCCAACCAGAAAAAAAGCGGAAGAAAAAGAACTATGTTTATACAGTAAAACCTAGAATGAACAATGCGAGAATAAATGATTAACCCGTTCGTTGTATGATTTAATGATATTTTATGGGGGAAGAGAGGAAAAGGGAAGGAAGGAAGGTGTAACATTGTCGCAAAAACTTTAATTTTTCATCCAGCAATACTGGAGAATCACAATCATGTATAATAATAGTAAGAAAATAAGCTCCGTAAAATAGACACAACACTTTTACGTACATTGCGTCGTCATCTTTGGTTCACGAAAACACCGAAAATGTGTTGTAAAACGAGACTATTTCGATATAACGGAGCAATCGAAATATCGGGAAGGAAAATGAGCAAAATTAGTGGGAGCACTGATCGAACTCAGTTCAGAAAGGATCCTAGGAGGAATTTAGCTTCGCGTACCTCATACCATTGTTAGCTTCAGTGGGTAAATTGTCTGCCACTTCGAGATCAGCGTTCTGCCATTCAGTGGCTGCGATTGAATCCGAGTGTGCCAGTCCCCGAATTTGTACTTCGGTACCGTAACCTGGATTTTCAAAAGCTACTGACGGATCTCGATCTGAAAGTGGTTGACTCCGGTGGAATTTTTGAATTGCCCTTAACCAAGCATTCGTCCGAATGGTATACACAACAAATGATGCTGCAGCGACCAGAAATGCAAAGAAGAATATCGAAATGAATGTATGACTTCGTGTTGGACCTAAAATGTATTTGTTAAAAGCTATTTTATCAGTATTATCAGTAAGATCATAAGTTTTAGGTCAATATTTTTGGTGTTACTAAGATGCAAAATAAGGTTAGCTGTTTTAAGTTAAGCACTAATTCCAATCCACTATCGCCACTATAAGTATCATTTAAAAAAGAGATCAAATCTTTTCATCTAAAAGAGAAAAGTCACCAATTCAAAATTCATGAAAATTCAAACATATCACTAACAAATTAACAAGAGATTTTACCGAGGGTGTTGACAATTTTCGTTTCCAAAAATGGTGAATGGCCGAGAGCATTCGCAGAGACTAATGCAAGATCATAATTTGTATTAGGGTCGAGGCCATCTATGACAACTTCCGTATTGCTAGTTTTCACAACTGTAAAGTCGCCATCGCTGTTTTCCTGACGGTAGTATATAGCATATACTTTGTATGGATCAGCTTCTGTTTCAGTCCACGATATCTAAAAGTCTAACATTATTAGGAATGGTGTATAATGTAGATCACAATATGTGAAGAAAATAATAAGAAATCGAAAGTTTGTATATGTATACTGGCAGTTATGGTTGACATGGTACAATTCATGTTTCAGTGACAAATTAAAAAGATAACCGACCAGAAAAGCGCGGTTTATTTAGAAGTTTACTAAAATTAATTGCTCATAAGACCTATCTACAATTACCTCATCCTGAATACAATTTTTAGACTAATAACCTTGACAGAATCAGGAGAAACGTTTTCATAACGAAGTAGTGTCGGAGGTGAGGGGGCTCGTTCATGTCCTCTAATCATGCAGGCTACAGCTCTTGGTGCAAATATTGAACATAGCGCGTTGTTTGAAACCTTACCACCGCTGCACATACTTAAACAATCTGATGGGATACGTGACCTCATGCAACACGCCCGATGATCTCGACCGTCGTTTGCACACCGCAGCAAATCTGTAATTCTTTCAAATAAAATATTTCTTCATTGACGTGTAGGAATATTTTGGATTTGATAAGTATGGTCTCTATATGAAAATGCTGCAAATAACCAATGAACGGAAACAATTTGAATTTCTAAAACATTTGCGAAATGAATCAGTAGTTTGCCAGGAATGAAGGAAAAAAAAAAACCTTCTGAGAAGGCTGAACAATCGCCATCAATTTCTGGATTTACTGAACAGACACGCAAGCATTTTTCCGATATTTTCGCTTCGACACAACACTACAATAAACTTCTGATTTCAAATGCATTTCGACAAACAGTAAATCATGAAAATTATTACGAATTATATTATAATCGCATAATAAATATTACGTAAAGATACCTGTAAAATGAAACGAGGTGTTAGTGGCAAGGCAGCTTTAGCAATATTCAATTCGGCAGCTTTTGTAACCTCAGTACCATCAACACCAATTGCCTTACAAGAATATATCCCATTTCGATCTGTTACATTCTTTATCTGAAAAACGGAAGAAAAGCACGATCAGAGGGAAAAGAAGTAGGTATGATGACAATCAAAATCTCATCACTAGCCATTCATTCAATTCAGTGTATCCTCTAATGACCAACATTATGTAACTACATGCCGAATACGGCCGTAACAAATACGTCTTTTCAAAAAGACAAAGACTATCTTTCCAAAAAGACTAATAATATTGATTAACAAGGACAACAAGAGCAACGAACAATACAATATTTACATAAAGGATAGATTGAACGAAAGAGTTCATTCAATATCTATAGTAAAAAAAAATTAGACGAAAAAAAAACAGCATTTAAAATAGAAACTTCAAATCTCCAAATGCGTCTGGAAATTATATCTTGCTTCTCTCTGCATATCCACCTTCCTGGACCCACATTCCAGATAATCAATTTTTTCTACAAAAAAAATTTTGAAAAAGCATACAAGAAGTGTATGAAGATATTGATTTAAAGCAGTCGTTTTCACAATAACAGGATCGTTAAGACGTTCCGTGCGAGCTGCATTCGGTGATTTTCGATAATGCCATTCCAGCTTGGGTTCTGGATAACCTTGTACGGTGCACTGGATTTCAGCTGATAAATCATCATAAGCATAGATCTGTTCCGTTACCATATTTACTATGGGTCCAACTGTAAAAATTAGATGAAATCGCTCAATATCCTATTAGTTTTATAATTTCAAAGAAATATATGAAAACAGTACGCAACATGCACAGCGACAAATTTACATTTGTTTTTTGTTCGAAAAATTTTTTTTTCAAAAAATTTAGATATTTTAAAACATACATTGTACAAAGATATGCATTTGAGCACGATTCTGACGGCCATCAGTGTCCATAACTGTGCACGTTATGAGGTTATTGTTTTCATCTACATTTAAAAATGTTTCGACAGTCATCTTTGATGGTTCACTATGGATCTACAAATTAAATGCATGTTTCAATTTGCTACAATATTTTAAAACTTTCATATGACTACATATTCAATAAAGGATTTCAATTATTCAACTTTTTTCTTTCAAAAACTTTTGTGTTGCATCTGCTTCTTTATAATCAGACAATGGATACTTCTTAGTTGGATTGAATAAGTTCATTTTTCGTTCGTGGTAATTTTGACAGAAATTTTAACTGAAATCTTTCAGCATCGTAGCATATATCTTTTAAACACCGAATGATGTAAAGAGGAATTTAATAAAGAAACAGTGATTAATAATTACCAATGTCTTTCCAATTAACAAATCCAAGTTAAGCATTCGTTCACCATGAACGGTACATTTAACTCCAATTTGTTCATTCATACGATAGGTTCGATTAGCATTCTCCGGTGTAATTGTAATCTGCGGCTCCGGTAAGGAATATTCATCTAAATTCATTGCTGATTATTTTTGGAAAAAGGAAAAGAATTTTTTTTTTAGTTTTCAAATTTTCATATTCTCAGTAACAATCCTAATATCTTTGAGTGGTTTAAACATTACTATTGATCGAAATAATATTATTAGAAAACCTATATCATTCTAACTTCCTTCCCATCTCATATGTCGCATTTTTTCTGTTTCAAATTTTATCAAAATTGAATTGATCAGCTATGTGGTCCAATTTTAAAATATTGGCCTTTTAAAGTTAGTAGATGTTTTACACAAATTACAGAGATCTAGTCTTAAGATAACGTCCCACACATTTGCGCAATCACCACTACTGTTACTGTTCGAATTTATGATCAAAATGGCGAAACAAATAAACAGAGGAAATAAATTGAAATTAAGGAACAAAATTACTGAAAGACATATGAAATAAAGATACCTGGAGCAGCAAGCATGGTTACAACTGATGAACTTCTGCTCTGCAAATTGCCATCACTTACATATACATATACTTCATAAAGAGAATTCATCGTTAGATTTTCCATTACATACCACATATTCTGTGTTTTAACCTGAAAGTATAAATTAACGAATCCGAAAATGTCCACTCTTTCTTATCACCATCTCATAACCAAATTCTAATTCTTTATTCTTTTAAATCTAAAAAAAGGAAAAATTTTTATATAGCACATACTACAGCAATGTGATTATGAGAGCAGTACCGAAGTCCAAACAGATGCATTTCCAGTGGAAACATAATTAACTGTGTACGTTACGGGATCAGTAATCCTTTGTCCATTATAACGAACTGAACTCCAATTCCATGTAATGTTTATACGTCGTCCATGGTTCCATACAATATGCAACCCAAATGGTGGTACTGGTCTATCATTTTGCTCTGAATAAAATTTGAAACATATCAATTTGTGATAAAAACATAATGGAAATTAATCGAATTTTTCAAAATTTCAAGCGTTTTGCCGAAAATGTTTTCGTAGTGTTTATTCAAAAAGACGCAAATATCTTAATGTAAAATCTTTAAAACACCTACCATTATCAGGTAGCGTTTCAAAGGAAATTTTAAATGATGGTGGGCTCGAACCATACTTATTAAATGTAGTTATATAGGCTGTATAATTTGTGCTTGGTTCGAGATCTTCAATACGAGCAGAATTCGTTGTGACATTAACCTGAATGATGCAAATAAAAACTGAGGAGAAAAAATGCAAAAAACATTTCAATTAATTTTTGTTGCAATGAAATATATTTTCAAAAACTTTCAGGAAAATTTTGTTCGCTAATTACAACTAGAACCTATTTGAAGGATTAAATAGAATGTTTTACGATTAGTATCATGGGCTTCTTATGTGAGATGCATATACGTCTGTATCCATATGTAACTATATTGCTAGAAGAAGTGATGATTTCGGTGAATTTAGATAGCCAGGGATTAATTAATCATATACGAAAAAATAAACAAATCTCATATTTTAAAATTATTGCTTTCCTTATATAATAAAACAAATTGCCTAACCTGCCTGAATATACTGGTACCCTTATCAAGTGTTACTTGATAGATATCTGCAGATCGTTGCAGTGGTATATCCCACGAAAGCAAAACTGAAGACAAATTTCTGGAGGTAACTTCTAAATTTGTAACGGCAGTTGGAAGATTTGTTGTAAGCCACGAATAGCACTTAGCCAGCGTTGGAGTATATTCCATGCACTCTCTCTTAAGAGTGAATGGATGTCTGCATGCTGACATGCATTCATCCGGTATACCTGCAAAACTCATTATATAACAAAAAAAAAATAGTGGGAGCTAGTAAAAAATGCAAAAATTTAAAAATCAAAATTTTATTATAATGAATCACCAGATTCTGCACAACATCTTGTATGGTCATGTCCCTCAGAAGTGCACTGAACCCATATGTCACCATATTCCGAACACTCTGATGTCAGTGGAGTACTATCAGAACACATGGACAAACAACTTGTTGAAACACCTCGTTGTTGACAGCAATCTTTTGCAAAATTTGTGTGTAACGCTAAAAATAAACACCAGTGACAACTTTTTACGAACTAATTATCAGTTAAAAGAAAGCTTGGACAACAATCAATGCAGTTCTCTGAAGTAAACCACGCTTATAATTTGAGCATGAAAGAATATATGGAATCACATATCCATGACATTTTCATGAACTGATATATATCAAAAATGTATCAATTAATAAAAATATTCCCAATTTCATTTGCTTCATATAGCTGCTGGTTCCGCAAAACAAAATCGAAGTCTTTTTTCCGTTTTAGAGATTTTTTTAGTTATTATAATAACAAGCTATGAAAAGATGTGCCAACGTTTGGAACAGCAGAATGTATCGGTTTCGGAAGTGCCAGCTACTACACAGTCATAGCCAGGCGGACAATCCCTTATACCAGTACCGCAATAATATCTGAAAGAGTTAACATCTATCAATGAGATTTGTTTTCGAAGTTACAAAAGCAAGTGAATCGGGAAGCGGGAAATACCTGTGTCCATTTGGTTCATATAATGGTTCTCCATGTGGACAGAAGGATGACACCAAAGGATGTGTGAAGAAAATCAGAGCAGTTGACATCAAACTATCACCCGTAGTTCCGTGGCTTTGTAAATAGACTGTGTATTCAGTGTCTGGGAGAAGACCATATTCAGTATGCGGTGAAGTTACATTATGTATCTGCAATTTATAACAATTTTACATCTTTATTTGCCAATGAAGAATTGCGGATTTTACGGGCCTAGTTCAATGCTTTTTAAGCAATCTTCAAGATCAACTTTCATTAGCAAAAATAGTCTCTGAATCAGTAATCCCCCCAAACTATCATTATCTCCATTACACTACCGCGTCTTCTGGTGATATTGGACTATATGATAGATTGAAGGAATCGTATATCGACTCAGTCTACTGATTTTAATGAAAAAATCGGTACACCTCTATGACATTTGAACTGCGATCATCCTTTCTCATGAACAGCGAATATGAAACAACAAGATGTGCATTTACGGCTGGTTCGGCCCATTCAACTTCAGCAGAACTTTCTGTTACAGCTGTTACAGTTACATTCTGCGGTGGAGAAGGTCGTGTATCTAGAAAGTGATATATTTGGAGAGTTATATTAAAAATGGACGAATTCCAAAACTTCCATGTTCTATCGTAGTTTTCATTAGTAGTGAAAAAATGCTGAAGTTTGAATCGAAATTTACACTGCGAATTTTTGAAACTAAAATTAGCTAATATTAAGTCAATATTCAGAATGCATACCGTAGCCTTGTCGTAAACACTGATAAATTGCAGCGATATCCAAATTCAGACACAATAATGAATGCATCGTTAGAGGTTCAGCAACTCCACCACATATTTTTAAACAGTCATGCTGTACGCCTTTCTTAATGCAACAATCCGTGTGATTACGTCCATCAGCAAGACACGGACTTACCTTCAATCATTAATCATAAAAAAATTATAATTTCAAAATGCATACTTTTTTATTTTAATATCTGCGCGCTTTCATTTCATGGACAGATTTTACCTAAATGCCAACATCAGTAGGATTGGCCGATCTTTTTAGTGAAGAAGTTCAATTGGGTATTGATCCGAAAAAAACCAGAACAATTACGATAATCTTGCACATAAGGCCGCATTATAAGCTTCTTCTTAGAAAAATCATTATATTCTGGGATAAGATTAACATTCAAGAATTTTTCTAAATGTCTCGTAATTTGGAAACAATTAAAAAATAACTTTTGGTGCAAAGGTTAGAAGAAAAAAAAATTAAAGAAAGGCCCAAACTAACTTTGGACCACTCAGTTCGACAAGATGTTGATATGGCAATCGTTTCAAGTGCATTTGGAATAGTTCTTACATCGCACATTTTTGAAGCGCAGTATGGTGATACTCCATTCGATGAGCAACACTCTAGAAGGATTCTTAATGGAAAAATGATGGACGATGACGTCCAAATACATATTTAAATCACCTACTACAATAATCAATTATCTACATTTAATAGCAGCTGTTTATATTTAGTTGTTTTTAAGTATCATGGAAGAAATTCATAATCTTGATAGATATAAGTCTTCGAAAAAAAAAAGTGTTGGAATCAAAAGTTCATTTAGTAAATAATAAAAGTTTTCCTGCACAACCATAACAAAAAAAAATTCAATTTTAAGATTCGGATTTCAGAAGTGACCTGAATCCTATTTTGAGGATAACTGATACACTAAGAATTGATGATGTAAATGGATGCAATAACAGTAGCGAAAGAAAGAGAAAATTTTGATTGAAACAGAAGCTATTAATAATAACAAAACACCAACAACCTCAAGTGCGATAAGTACAGCATGCATTCCTGGTACTTACATTTCATTCTTTTAACCAGTATCGTAAAAAGAATCACTTTATAAGCATGCTTTCATTTTTCTACAATAATGAGAAAAGTAATATGAAAAAAAGATATCGCTGTCTTTCTGGACAAACCAACTTCAAGACAAGTCGATTAAAATGGTCCGCTATCTTGTGAACATACACTGTCAACCATGAAAGCATGCAAAGTTGGTGCTAAAATTTTGGTAAAGATCGTCAATTGCATGATATTTGTAACGATTCTTAGATATTTGGTTTAAACAAAATGTCAACAAACATGAATTGTTACGACTAGTACCTATTTCCATCTTTATTTATCCTTAAATTTTCAGTTCCTCGAAAAGTTAAATAATTGCGCCAAAAAAAAACGCTAGCAATGCTAGCTAATGATTTCCTTACATGCATTTTACGCTTTGCCGGCCTAAGCTATTGTTAGCGCCGACGCATAAATTTCCTTAACGGGAAAAAGCAAAAGGTTTGTGCAAATCAGTAGCATGCAACAGTAAGATAATTGAGACAAAATCTTGAAAGTAAGATAATTGCAAGTGCAACTAAACTTTCAACGATAGAAGGTTTTCACTTGAAACAATACAAAAAATTCCACAGCTTATTCCGAAAAAGGAAAGCAAAAAATTAAACTTGTCTAACATGAATTAGACCCAAGTTTACTTTTTACATGTCTTTTTAGTAACTGTGACAAATGGAACATTTTTCTGTCACGAAACAATGATTTTTGGTTTCCTCCCAATGCCGAATTCCTTATAGAAAGGATAAGTTTTTTTGTTATTTGAGAAAGCAAATCTTTTTCGACCTTCAGCAATGCTTTTAAGTGAAGTCGTCAGTGGTACTACAAAAATTTGAACAAATGAGTAAGGAATACGCTCGATCTGCGGTAGCGTTGAATTGGATGGTGTGACAATCGCATTCGTTGCAGCCAAAGCTCGTGATGATGGTACCGACATGCCATATTCGTTCGATGCTGTTACATAGACAATGTAACGTGTTGCTGAGCGTAAATCTTTTAATGTAACGCAAGTATCCGTCGTGTTCACCTACAAATTTTACGTCATCATCTTTGTCAAATATTATACGTTTTCTTTTTTGTTTTATCAAGTTTTATGGCGAATTACTTGAATGTTTTTCAATAAGAAGACGTGATAAGAATTTTTATATGGGAAATCGTTATAATTATAGAAATTAGTATTTAAACTATGCTCTTATTACCTCATCAAACTTGAATTCGCGAACGGTTGAATCGTTTGTAGATGAATCATGTGTAACAAAAAGCCATGTCTGTCGTTTTCCGCGTTTCAAGGATCCAACATCAGATGGTGTAATATCGCTAGCAACATCGTCTTCGGCCACTCCACCTGGGATGCTTTCCTCGTAATCACCCGATAAAAGAGGTATTCCACTGCAACAATCGTAAAGTATAATCTGGATTACTTGATGCAAAATGATAAAAGTCCCGCATCTTATTTCCGATATAAAATCATTTATTTCGAATTGATCAAAAAATGACGAAAAAATAAATCTTGGATAAAGGAAAAGATGAAAAGGAAAACTTAGAGTCGTAGAACACATTTCTGAAGCAAAGAGCCGAGAAACGATTCAAACTAAGCAACGAAATGAATAAAGGCTAATTTTAAGCAATGATGAACTTAACGTAAAAAACATACTCATCTCCTCCCAAGAATGGAAATGATGGTATTTGCTTATAATACACAGTATAATGATCAATTTCAAGATGTTTGTTCGATGTTTGAGGTTGCGGTGGACGCCAACACACTCGTAGCTCGTCTGATCCAATCGCATTAACGGTTAAATCTTGTGGATGCTCAGGAAACGGTACTAAAAAACAGAATTTGTTATTGCAATTGTAAAATGAAAAACAGACTCAAAAGTTAGGCACATTCCGAAGAAAACTCACAGTACGCGCGATTATAACATTCAAATATTTCCGGAAGATAATACAAGCATAATCGATGAGATTTGCGTAACATTTGGAAATTTCCGGAACAGAAATCGTAGCAAAATGAAGGCACCAGCTGCGTTTTACAGCACTGCACATGACTTCTGTTGCCACCTTCCGTAGCACATGACAAAAAATTTTTATAATCGTCCGTTTTACAACTGAAATACAGATTCTTTTTTTTTACAATTACAACAGCAAAAATGCAGAAAAATATAAGTTGTGCTATAGAGATTGCTAAGTTAGCTTCATTAAAAACAATGAAATCTATAGCAGCCTCATGATCTGTCACAACATTCTTCAAAAAATTATGCAAGAACAAAAGAACAAAAAGAACTTTTTTCTTGAACTTTAAATATTTCTGATTGCCTACCTTGTCGGGTCGAAATGATGAATGTGCATGTCCCTCGGCTTACACATTGCCTGACATAACGGTGAAATTCCTTTCTTTGCACAGCATTTACTGTAATCGTAACTAATATTTTCATGAAACCCGCCTTTCAATCCACTCTCTGAAAAATTTTCTTTTTTTCACAAATAATTTAGTACTGTAGAAGAGTTCAAATTTCACATACAAAAACAAACAAATCATAACTATGGATAAGAAAATGATGAATTACATGCCTTATCTTTATTAATCATATAACTTTGTGAGGATAATAACATCTAACACTTTCAATTTTTCATATAGCCTTATTTAGCACCATCATTATCAATCAAAACTTGTTAAATCGTGAGGAAGATTTTCTCTTTTACCATTTAATGCTATGCATTAAAAGCTTACCAAGGACCTCCAGTTGAAATTCCAGTTGCTGAGGTTGATTTGATATTTGACATCGATAACGACCTGCATCTTCAAACGTAAGGTTCTTCAAAACAAGTGTGAAGTCTTCCGAAGCACACTGACAGCATTTATTGTCCACACAATGTGACCCGTCAGCGCAAGTGTTGGAATCCGAACAACTACCCGTACATTCTGAAAATTGCGCTAATTTGTAAATGTTCGGGAACAATGTAAGATGTCAATTACTGCCTTTTGACTTCCAAACTGCTACTCTCGGTTGCTTTCTGGACTAATTACAATTTTTATATGACAAAAACAATACGTTTAATTCCAGTTCCTGATTTTATTTATATCTACAGCTTTTCTGATTTTCATGATTTGAATTACATTCTAACTCATCTACGCGTTTTTGTATTCACTTCTTTTTCTTTAATCCCTACACCTATAAATTATATCACTTTCTTAAATCATGATTCCAAATCTCATACATTTTATACCATTAATTGAGATCTGTCTTCAAAACGTATGCTACTGTCAGATATGATTCAATGCATTTGTTTCAACCTTTCAACAAAAAGTTATTTTTTTAAATTCAATTTTGAAAGTTGATTCTTCAGATAAGTATTACCTTTATCCTTATCAGTTTCAATATTGTGCTGTAGCAAAACAGAATTGGCATCCACACCGGAACTATCCAGAAATTTTGTTGAATTAAATATTGGCACATCATCTTTCAACCAGATTACCTATAATGATGCAAAACTATCATCTTCCACCATTCATAGAATGTTTAAATCATTTATAATCCACGGATTTCTCCCTCCTGAAAATGTCTTTTTCTAAATAAGCTAAGTTGTTTTTGAGAAAAATAAGGAAAATTTTTTGATAAATTTCATTTAAAAAATTTGTTAATAAATTTTGTTGAAAAGTTTGAGGCTTACAGTAGAAGCATGTCGTACGCAAGTATTAAGCATGCATTCGAGACGTGCAGCAAATCCTTGTATGACAATCATATATCCCTCATCAGAAGTCGTTAGATGTAGCTCCTTTGTTTGACATCTTAGCACTATGCAATATATCAGAACTAGTAATAACTGTACCATCTGAAATGTTATTATTACATAACATTACTTTTAACAATCAGTATTCCGAATGTATAAACTAAAATTCGAAATGGAATAATTTTTTCTTATTATATCATAAAATCGTTTCTTTTTTTTAATTAATCCCAATTTGCTACAGCAAATTTACATATGTCAATGTTTAATAAATTTCAATTATTAAGAATTTCTTTTGAAACAACAACGAACATAATTCTAAAAATACATTTCGAAAATGATGAACAAAACAAAATTTGATATGTTCAATAATGATCATGACATTAATAAGGGAAAGTTTTTAGAACCTGAAAAGTTAGGTCATAACATTAAATGATCAACGACGCCTTACTTCTAAATCATAGATCACACAACAAACTAAAAGTCACTCAGCATTTTATTTTTCACAATTCAATCAATATTGATGAAACAATTAATTCTTCATCATCATATATAAGAAGTTAAACTAACTGGAATTTGAAATATTTTAAGTTAATAAGAATGAAAACTTTTATCTTAAAATTACAGGTAAAAGTTTTGAAAGTGAAAATTATTAAAAAATTGTTATAATTTAAAATTACGATGAGATTTTAGATTTTAATCTAATTCAAAAATAAAACAATAATTTCTTCTCTCTCTCTCTCTTTCTAATCCATAAGTAAGAAACAACAATAATAATAACAGATTCTGCATGTCAAAACTAATTACACTACACTTAACAACATTGGTAGAAGTGCGCAGTTGATTTTTGCACCCATATTAAATTTGAATCATACAGTGTCATTTGTAAAATGACCTATATTACAGATCTTTTTTTCTCCCTCCCTCTCTCTCTCTCTGCATCTCTGTCTATCTTTCTCCATCCCCCTCTCTATCTCTTTGTTAAGACCTTCCCTACCAATAGAAAATTTTCTTTTCTTTTCATCAACAATATCAATTCACTTCTGCATGCCTCATATTCTGAAAACAAAGTAACAATTTCAAAATTTGGTCAACTGCAAAAAGAATTTTTTTTCTGAATTTTTGTATTTAATATAAAGAGGAATGAATGGTCAATTAATCTGACCTTCGAAATTATTGAAATTAATACAGGTAATTTGCTGTGTATTTTTATGGGAATATTTTATTTAACAAACAAACATTTTTGAAATAATTATTACTACTATTTTTTTCGTCGTTATTATTGTGACAAATAAATCGTTATTATTGTGACAACTGAATTGTATTTATTCAAGTAACAAAATATGCACTTCAACTGTCGAATAATGGAAGAATATGAATACCATAAGTATAACTATTAATTAATCTATGGAGTAAAATTGTGAAATTTTTGAACTTTTGAAATTTCAAAAAAATCAATGACGAATGTGCATGTTTTTAAGAAGAAAAACAAAGTGAGAAGATGAAAGGAAAAGAAAAACAATAATAAAGATATAATAATAAAAAGTATATAATATGATTAAATAAAAACTAAAAGTTGTATAAATTCGATAGAACTCTTTTTAAATTTTGAATTTGAAGAAAAAAATAATCAAAATATAAGCAAAAATTTTGTTAAAATTTCAAATTCAATTTTAAGAGACAGAAAACAGAAATAAAGTGAAAATTAAAATTAATGATACTTCATTTAAAAAAAGCATCATTTGCATAATGTTTATCGTAAAAAAGAAAAAAAAAGAAAAATGAAAAAATGATGAAAAAGAGGGGGACGAGAATGAAGAGTAAAAGCAGCAGCTATTTTGTGACAACACAATTCAACTCTCTATAAATTACTAACAAAATCAAATGAAACCACTGAAAGAGAAGGAAAGAAAATTAATTATAATTCATTTTTCCTGTTCTCATTCCTAAAATGAAACTAAATGTTACATTCATGCACGGAGACAAAAAAAAACGTAAAAAATTTTAACTTTCCGTACACTTTTTTCCTTTTTTAAATTTCAATTAAATTTCAAATTATTAAAATTTTGACTTCAGCAGTTTTAATGCAAAAATGCAGTATATCAAATGCATGCTTTGCTTTACGGTATCATTCTGGTTCATACAAAACTTCTCGAAAATTTTTGCATTGCTAGATTAAAAAAAAAAAAAAGAAAGAAATTGAGAGACGAAAAATTTTAAAGACAAAAAAGAAAATATCGATGATAGGAATAGAATGAACGATACGGGAAGAATGACGCGGGCGGGCGGGAGTGCACAGGGAAGGGAGGAGAGGTAAGAAAGGAAGAAATGAGAAAGAATGACGGAATATGTTTTTTTTTTCCATAAATAGCCTATTAAATAGAAATTAAAAGTTGTATAAATTCGACACAACTCTTAAATTTTGAATTTGAAAAAAAATAATCAGAATATGAATAAAAATTTTGTTAAAACTTCAAATTTAATTTTAAGAGACAGAAAAAAGGAACAAAGTGAAAATTAAAATTAATAAAATTTCATAAAAAAGTAACATTGACAAAAGGTTACACGAAGATAATGATTGCCTATATATATTATACATATATGTCTGTCTGTGTGTGTATGTGTGTGTGTGTGTACGTGTGTATGTGTGTGAATGTAATTCATTTATATTATGAAACATATACATGCAATATATATTGACAAATAGGCTCAAATTGATGTCACACAATCGGCAAATCATAAAAATCTTTCCTTTTTTCTTTAATTTGAATTCTGTAATGTTAAAACAGCATTCTTTCTTCTTTCATCTTTATCCATTATGCTTTCTTCCTCACTTGGACAATGTTATCTTAAGATAAGACAGAGAGAGAGAGAGAGAGAGAGAGAGAGAAAGAGATCGTAAAGATTAATAGCATGCATTTAATCATTCTTTTGAAAATTTTAACATAAATCTTTTTCGATTAATTCCGAAACAGTGTTAAATTTAACTAATTGATTCAAGCATAAAGTACTTTTTAACATTTCGATAATAATTTATGCAACAAAAAATTAACGATCCAAAAGAAAATTTTCTGCAACAAATGCAATAGAGTAAAAATTTCGAAAAAAATATTTGAATTTATGCTTTAAAAATTAGAAGGAGGTGTTGTATAAATTCTTTTCAATTCGTTTAATTTACACAAAGAATTGAATAATGGTAATGATATCGATTTATCGATACCATTGTACGAATATTCAAAAATACTTTTTAATCATTGTTTTGGTAGTATTAAATAATAAATGAAAACAAACTGTGCAAAAAGTTGTTCGAAAATTTGAAAATTTAACTTAGGAAATTACATCTATAATCAATCTAATTTTAACGGATCAAAATATGTCATACAATATTCCGTATTGTATAACATGTTTTGATCCGTTAAAACGTAGAACACGTGGAATACGCTTGTGATTAATAAAATTCAACGTCAACAACATTTTTGCAAATGAATGGTTTTCCATTAATCTTACATTTTTTTATAAAAAAAAAAAAAGAAAACACATCAAATATTTTTCGAGTAAAATTAAAACAATAACAATTTGAGATAATGACGAAATAAATGCCAAAAAAAATAATAAGTAAAATTTGAAGAGCATAGCAAAATGATTGTCCCAATAACAGGATGAGGTAAATTTTGAAAAGGTGATGAAATGATTCTCGAAAAAGAATATGGCACACATTAAATACACGATAAAGATAAAAGACATTATTTTGTTTTGAATAAATGTGACAAATGAACATAAAATTGAGCAATTTTTTTTTTAAAGTAACAATTGAAAAAAAGTAGTAGAAGAGAAGGATGGCTTAAGTTAAACGAGAAACTTTTAGACTTCTAAAGTTGAGAAGGAAGAAACTTTTAGACTTCTAAAGTTGACTATTTACTCAGATATTCATCTTTGCATCGATTAAGACAACGTTTGTGTTACTTAGCAACCATTTCTGAGAAAAAGATGAAGAAAAAAAAAACAGATATCCTTTGAAATTTATGTCCGTATTGCTTCACAAGAAGAAATAACAACAACAGGAAAGATGAAGAAAGAATAAAAGGAAATTGAAAATTTTTTAAAATACATTTTTTACAAATTTAAAATGAAAAAAAAACTAACCCATTAATTTAAAAATTCTCGTTAGATTAATCGAATTTAAAATATAAATTAAATTTGCTACCTCACACATATTATTAAATCAAATTAAGAAATTTAAATGTTTCATTTGATAAAGATGAAAATCTCTCTCAGTTTATCACACTTCATCAGTTTGTTACGTCATCAATCGTTTTCTTAATTTATTACGTCATCAATCATTTTCTTAATTTATAAAACCTCACTTGCAAGTAAACAAATGAAATGCCAAAGAGCTGCTTTGGTGCAACAAGGTGAGGGACTGCAGCATGCAGAGAAGAAGGAAACCAGGAGATGAAAAATGGAGGTGGAAAAAGTGGAGGAGTAGGAGGAAGAGATGGGAGGAAGAGGTGGAGGAAGAGGTGGAGGAAGAG